AGTCATTAACAGTGAGGTCTCTTTAGGGTATCAAATGAACACCTGGATGGGGATCTATATGGAAATGACCATGGGTACTATAGTGATGCCCCACCTTGCTGATTAGAGACCTTCCAAACCCAAGTGAAGGTCCATTTTCTGTGACTCTGTGAGGTGTAAATTATCTGTCTTATCTCTCAACCCTGCCGCTTCTCCTAGAGATAAAGTTTCCAGGGGAACAGTGAACTCAAGGGTGGGGAGGAGGGAGGCACATGAGTCACTCCTCAGTTGCAAAATTTTGGAACTTCTCAGTTTCAAGAAATATAGGAATCAAAAAAAATAATATTTTAATACAACATTTAAAAAATCAGAATTAATGCCAAAAATCCATGATGAACAAACTATCAAAATATTAAAGACAGTATCCAATCCTGTACTTGCCAGACCTTGCCTCCCTTGTTTCTCCCTAACCCTGGTTATAATGCAGCCTGACACTGCGGAGGAGACATGCCATGTGTAAGGGTGCTCTGCATTGGCGTGTGTCTTTGCAGGGCAGAGTGTGCGACCTGGTATATCTGCATATTAATGGCCTAAGTTTCTACTAGAAAGAAATCCAGAAAAATGCCTTTGGATTCCGTATGAAAAGTACTTATAACTGTCATATTTCTGAGAGTAATAGTAGCAAAGGTGACTACATCTCATTGAGTGCTTCCTATGTGACAGTCACTCTGCGAGGCACATTACGTAAAGTAATGGTCTCTTTGAATGCTCACAGTAACCCTATGAATTAGGTACTGGTATTCACCCTGAGAGGGAAGTGAGTCAGAGAGTCGAGTCGCTTGCTTGAGCTCACCCAGCTAACGGGGGCAACCCAAGATGAAGCTGTAACTTACCCACTCAGGGTTTGAACCTGGATCGGTATTCTGGAAAATGTGCTTTATGCCTCCAGAATGGTTTAGTAGGTTTGGGTGACGGCCTATCAGAATTGCATTGCTAAGAGCTAGCCATGTGTCCTTTAAGCCTTATGCTTACTATTCCAGAGATTCTCCATTAGGAATCAATTCTTCCTCCACCATACATTTTCCCCCAGTTTCCTGGTATTTCTTGGGAGGAAGGAGAGAATGAGAAGAGAGGAGAAGATGATGACGATGGTGACGGGGGTGGTGACGACGGTGGCAGCGTGTACTGTGGCCTTTATCACATGCCAAGTGCTGTGATGGGAGTTTTACGCACGTAACTTTATTTAGTCATCAAAAAGGCTAGGAAAGACTGGTTCATCCCCATTTTGGGTCAGAAAACTGAGTCTCTGAGAATGTAACTTGTCCAAGGTCATAGTCTCAGGCAAAAGACAGGTAAGATCTGCTCTCTTACTGTTCACATTGTAGGATGGAAGGAAGAAGAGCTAAGTGGCACCGCATTAGGTCAGCCCCCGCTCGTCTTGGAGCCCTCGGAAGCGGTTGCTGCTGCTGGAGCAGTCCCCAGCTCTCCCAAGGGCCCAATGGCCCTGCAGGCCACAGCTATGACAGCCGTCCTTTCTGGTTCCAACTACCAAACCCTTCGAGCATTATCCCCAGAGAGCACCCTGTACAGCTGTCCGGGGTGATGGGATTTTATTTTAGGATTAAAATAGCCTAGTTTAGGATGTTTCCAATAAATATACCCAAGTTAAGAGCAGGCAGCAAAGGAGCCGTGGTGATACCTAAATACTCAGTACATGTCATCAGCTCACAATTTTTATTCCTAAGGATTTAGAGACCATTTTGCCAAAACCATAGTGCCCAGGTGTTAGAATATCTCTGGAAAAGGCTTATCTGAACCACAGAGAAAACAAAATGGGAAGAACTAAAAATGTTGTATTAATTTCCTCTTCAGAAAAATCATAACAAATCTGCTGTATTAGCATCAATCTCAACTAAAGCAAACCTGGCGAATAAGCCCTGTAAGTTGCATGAGGAAGCACAAGAGCTGTCCAGAGGCCAGGAGCGTGCTAATCACTGTTGAACAACGGGCTTTCTGAGAGGGAGTGAGCCTATTCCCATGGTGTAAATGTTCCCACCATGCCCTATTTCCTGCCTACCAAGGTGCCACCCTGGACAGGGAGCTGGGAGGAGGTGCCCGGGACTAGCTCTCATGAAGAGCACCCCATTATTCCAGCCTCTCCGGGAGGAGGGATCAGATGAGCCACTCTTCTGGTACAGTGCTTTATCCTGGAGAACTGGACCCCTGCGCTGTGTGACCCTGGGCAAGTTGTTTCACCTCTCTGGGCCTTTGTTTTTTCCTCTACAAAGGATCATAGGAAAGATCACTTTCCCCTCTGCCATTTTAAAGTTCTAAGAAGGCAGGGCCTCCTGCCTCCTCCAACATCCAAATGCCTCCAAGCGCCTTTGCAGAAAACCAAGTTAGTGCCGCGCGGCGCCAAGCGTGCCGCCAACTCCATCTCCTGAGCAGAAGGTTTGGAAGGAGCGATTCTCCCTTTTGCCTCTTTAAATGTGTCGCCAATGGGGCACCATCCACTTTTTACACTTCCCCTGCTGGATGTGAGATCCAGGAGGAATGGATGTTCCAGGGCTTTCTTGCTTTCCTGGGGTGGGAATCTGTGCGTGTGATACACGGAGCCGCCTCCCTCTGCCGGGCCCGCCCTGCTGCCCTCTCTGCAGCTGGGGAGCCCTGACGGTGCTCTACCTTTGTGCGTGTTTACTGCTCGCTCCCTGGAAGCCACGTGCGAGGAGGGGGGCTGCTCTTGTCAAACAGGGGTGGGGGTCGCTATCTTTTCCTGGAAGGTGGCGCGTCTCTCAGCAGAGAGAAGAGGCATGTCGCCCAAGGCTTGCTGGCAGTGATCGGAGCCAGCGCCGGTTTGCCTGTTGTCACAGCCAAAGCGAAATGCCACCTCTGCCTAGAAGCCAGAGCGCCACACTCTTCTTTGTGTCCCCGAGAGACACCCGTCGTAAGGCCCGGGGCAGGCAGGCTTGGCCAGGAGGTCATCCTGGTCCCTTGAAGGTCATCTTTCATCCCCTGGAGCTGGGGGTGGAAGGTATAGAGGGATTGCTCGTAACTCTCAGCATGGGTTCTTCGATTCCCCAGATTGCATGGCAGGAACAGCCGGCACATGCGGAATCTGAGGTTTGGGGGGAACACGAGAGCATCCCCAGAGAAAGGCAGGACTGAGGGAATGCCAGTGACCCAGGGACACCCCCGTCCCCAGGCCCCTTCCTAACAAGCTGAAATACAGTGTGTGACAGCACAGGCTCCAGAATCCCAAGGCAGGAGGTGCCAAAAACACCCCAATAACCACTACACCCCCTTAAAAAAAAGTTTCCGTAACATGTTCTCACTCCTAGAGGGGAAAACCTGTCCATGCCTGAAGCAGCCTGACCCGCAGCCACCCCTCCTCGGAGTGGAGTGCAGCTCTCAAGACAGAGCCCCACCCCGCCGCCTGCTCCCCCGGAGGGAGGGACAGAAGGTGCCTCCGCTGCCCGTGTCGCCTCCCGATCTTTAAAAGAGCAGACGCTGGCTGTGAGGCTGGGCTGCCTTCACTGGGGTGTGTGGTCTCCGTGGCGGCTGGGCTCCAGGGAGGGCGCCTTTGGCTCCCACGAGGCAGGAGCCCAGACATAAAGGATTTCAAAGAGGCCACCGCATGCCAGGCTGAGCCGCCGCCGCCACCGCCTCTTGCAAGGTGAAACTTGGCAGTCCCTACCTTGCAAGCAAAAAAAACAAATTAATTTTCTTTAAGAAAATTAAGTCAGACACGAGGCTTGGGAAAAACTGTGAGTGTTAGGCATAAACTGATTTTGGATGATCTTTAGGTGAGAAAGGGTGGAGCTACCCTCGGAAACATGTTTTTATTTACGCTTTTCAAATCCCCACTGGTGTGCAGTGTGTGTGTGCGTGTGCGGTGTGTGTGTGTGTGCATGTGTGTGTATGTATGTGAGAGAGTGCCTCGTCTCAATTCTCTAACCACTCTTCTTTTCTTTTTTTCTTTTTTTTCTTTTTTTACATCTTTTCTGTGCCCGGTTCATATAAGATGCCCAATAAAGCACTCCATAGGTCCATCCGCACCTTTTCATTTTATTTGTAAATTGTTTGGTATCAGCGGCGATGCGTAATGAAACCTGGTGAAGTTTAAAAGATTAGATTTTTTTTTTCCTCCTGACACTTCCTAACACTGTTCATATGTCTCGGAGTGGGATTTATGAATAGATGAGCAGTGCCGCGGAACGAAGCCGCACCAGAGACTTCCTGCTCCACAGGGGTGGCAGTCTACAGTGACACAGCTTCAAGCATTTTTCACAGACAAGAAGCAAAATTTAACCCCCTTCAGGGGAAGTATGATTTCAACAGCTTGAAATGAGCTCATTTCTAGATGGTTTTTTTTCTCTCTCCTCTTCCATAATTTTTTTGGTGTTAAGATTAAAACAGATTGCACAGCCCATGGAAGGGCACGGAAGCTGCCCGGTGTAGAATTTGGCCAGTAAAGAGAAACCCTCTTTCATTGTCTTTATCCAAACACCCCAGTGAGGAAAATGAAAGGAAACTTGGTCCTAGATTTTTTTTTTTAAGACTCTTAACCATAATTCTTGGAGTTGTCCTTAGCAGACACAAAGGCTGGATATTTCCAAAGGTAAGTAGCAAGTGGCATTGGTTAGTTCAGTGGAGAAGCCCTATCTCCCGGGCACCAAGACAACAGCATTAGGAAATAAACAGAGACTTGAGTCTCCAATGAGTAAAACTTACCAAGAAAACGGAGAATCAGAAGAGGAAGTGTGATCTAGGTGAATCAATCATACAGGACATGAGGTGTCTAGAGTGGAGGGATTCTGTCTTACATTCAGAGTCCAGACCAGTGTCTTTTAGGCTGGTCTGGTCTCTTGAGATTTTGTGTCAATAACTGTTCATGATCTCTATGCTCTCGAATCCTCTTTAACCATTTTGTTTCCCCTTGGAGCAGAGTGGGGCACCTGCCCCTCTCTGCTCTATCAACACCCCATGACGTGTCGCTGGAGAACTTTTGTCTCTTTTTTCAGCAATGGTACAACAGCTCCATGAGCGTGATCTGCACCTGGCTGACGGACCGGATGGACTTACAGCTTCACATTTATCAGTTGAAAACACTAATTAGGATGGTAAAGGTAAAAGAAAAGCATTCTTCTTCTTTGCAAAATAGCTTACTGACATGCATTCTATTGGCAAACTGCAAAACCTCCTTAACACAAGGAATGTGGGTTTACATTTAAAACAAAATGATTTCCACAGCAGTATCTCATGCAAGAGCAACCTATCGGGTTATTGTGGGATGCATGGTTCATTTATTGCTCAGGAAGCAAAGGAAAATGTCACAGGAAGGAATTTGACATGTTATCAAGGCTGCGAAAATACTGGATGCATTTGCCATGCAAAAAATACCATAAGGGCTTCGGACCCTTTGCATTATACGTTCAAAAGCTGACTGTGGGTGCCGCCAAGCTAAGCAAGGCAGTTACCAATCTTATTTATGGCTGAATTAAATAAATGTTTGCCACAACTGATTTAATAGAACTATTTACCTCCAGCTATTTCTAAGATATGTCCCGAGATCATTATCAGGATGCAAATCAATATTGTTCTGTCGTTAATTGAAGTAGTCTCTTACAATGCGTGTGTGTGATCCAATGGAAGGCTCACAAAGGTGAGATCACATACCCTGAAAGTAGCGTTTCTCCTGTTCTTGTGTGTGTGTGTGCCTGGACTAATGATAATTATTTCAGCGTGAAATCTCGGTGGTTTACATGAAATAATAAGATCACAGAAGGGGGTAAATACGGTTTTGATCATTTCAGTTTCCATTCAATGCTTCTCTATAGCAGGTTTAAAAAACGGTGGTATGCAAAAATCTCATCCAAAGTCTCTTTTAAAATATGGTAACAATAAAACGAAGCTGTATTTCTATTACTTAACAGTTTGCCAAAGATCTCCCCCACCCCTGCTGCCCCACCCCCTCCCTGATTCCTTCCCCCTTTGCCTAGTCTCCTTTGGATTAGCATCAACTCGCTGAGGTGCTCCTCTCCCCAGTGCGGACAAAACCAGCTTCTGTTCCGTTGAGTGTAATTAAGGAGAATTATTATCATCTGTGCTTGGTCTGGCAGCGTTCACCCAGGGAAGGTTACGGCAGCGCACTGCCGCTCTTCAAAAAGAGCACGTGCACTCGGACTGTGGGCCCAAGCGAATTTCCACGTTTTTATGTCAGTTCCTTAAAGCAAACTCCCTTAGCCATTATTGTTTGACTACCTGAATTCCATTTTCTGGGTATAAATTCTCTTTGGGGGAATTTCTGTTTGACCCTCCTGAATAGACATGAAAAGAAGACATTGATTTTAACATTTTAAAATATCTTCCCATTACTAATATCGCCAGGTCTATGTTGGGAATGTTGGGATTAGCACTATTTTATTAAGGGGGAAAAATATGTCAGAGAGGATGTTTATTCTTAGCCTTGTGCAAAAAATAAATAAATAAATAAATAAATAAATAAATATAAAATTTAAAAAAAAAAACATGAACCATAGGGAAGGGACACAGAAGCATCACTGCCAAAGGACTCCAAAAGTGGGGGTGGCCCCCTTAACTAGAGCCTCCATATGGGAGGGTGAGGCGGAATGCGCCCCCTCTTTACAAAGTCCGTTACCCAGTCTCCTTCTCCAAGGCAGACATCAAAAGGTAACTGGCTGGCTTTGCAGCATCTGCAGCTCTCCACCCAGCCATTCATCATTCAGCAGCATCTCCTCATCCAGCCAACATAAACACACATTAGTTGAGCCCCTCAAGGAGGAGGACTGTAAAGTAAGGAGACACAGCCCCTGCTCAGCTGGAGAACAACGAGATTCGCATGAAGGGGAGAACACTCAAGTGCTTTCCACCTTTTGAAACAATTAAGTTATGCTAAGTGGCCGCAGGACGAATGAAAAGTACAAAATAAATCAGGTTAACTGCCTGGTATCTGGTAACTACATTTACTCAGCCTCTTAGCCTTGCCCCTCAAGGTGAAGACAGTTCAGGTAGCTCCCTAGAGCAGTGTTTTTCAACCTTTTTTGGGCAAAGGCACACTTGTTTCATGAAAAAAATCACGAGGCACACCACCATTAGAAAATGTTAAAAAAATTTAACTCTGTGCCTATATTGACTATATATAAAGTAATTCTCTTGAATAGGAATCAAATAAACACAAAGAAAGTATTTTATAATTACTTCATTATGAAATATTAAGTAAACAAAATAGTGAAAAATTATAAAATTCTTGTCTTGTCTGCACCTACAGCACACCAGGCAATATCTCGCGGCACACTAGTATGCCGCGGAACAGCGGTTGAAGAACGCTGCCCTAGAGAGCTAGCATGTCCATCCACTCAGGATGACCTTTTCACTTAGAGTCAGAACCGAGTCACTTGGAAGGGGAAAAGCAGGTGCCATGAAACATCAGGCCGGGACAATGGGCATAAGCTGGCAAATAGACATGGAGTCATCCTGTCCATGATTTTATACAATCGGCCTTTGCAAGCTGGGTGCATTCCCTCATTAGCTGTGTGGTCATTACAACTCTGCGTGACCTTCATGAAAGGTGGACACTGGGATGGGGACACGAGGCCGGAGAAACAGAAATGCCGTCGGCAGGGCTGTTGCAGTGTGTCCTGGTCCTTCTTTCGCTCCCGTAGCAAGTTCCCCATGTCTACAAGGAAGCACGCTGCAGATCGCAGCTCAATGAGATGCGTTGTGACAGGGAGAGCCGTGGCTGGAGAGAGACCTCTCTCGGCGCAGTTCCCTGCGAAGGAGATGACAGCCAGATGCTTCTGGTCACGTTCAATTAATGCTCAGGGGTTTCTAGAACAGCAGCTCATGGGATACCTATGGAAACCCGGGAGAAATTGCCCGGAAGAACAAAGAGAAAGTCTGTGGTACAGTAATCTCAAACCAGTCCTCCTGAAAGGGGGCCAGGTTTGTTCCCTGAGACCCTGACGTTGTGATTGGAAGAGACATGCTTCTTTCCCAAGGAGAGACCAGTCACATGCCGGCAACATGCGGGTGAGGCCCTAGCGCCCCATCTCCCTCAATCGTTGCTGCGCCTAATGGGCTTCACACACAACATGCGTGTGTCTGTCTTGTGAGCGAGACAGAGGGCCATGCAGTTCTGAGCCTCAAAAATACCAAAGACCAGACTGCAACCCTAATCGCAAAATGCCATAATTGCTCGATCCGTTATTTATATGCAAATAGCCCCTTCCACTGTCTCTCATATCCTATTATAATAATGTAAGAGAAAGAACCAGACCAATCCCCCATCTCCCCTTAAAAAAATAAATAAATAAAACAATTCTGGAACATTTCCCTTTATGGAACTGAATAAACACAAGCTTATGTTCTTTGCTTTGTCTCATCTAATACAGTGTATCCTGTCACAGTGTCTCATTTTCTGTCACTCAACAAGTCTGTTTCGGTTGCCAGTGCAATCTGAGCGCGGTGGCTTTTCATTTGACCACGCGTGAAGTGTGACTGCCGCTGACGGCCAGTGTTCTCACACCCCGCCCGCTCCGTCCTGTCCCTCCCCTCCCTTCCCTGATCCCTGCATCTCTTCCTCCCCAGAAAACCTACAGGGACTTCCGATTGCAAGGGGTCCTGGACTCGACCTTGAATAGCAAGACATACGAAACCATCCGGAACCGTCTCACTGTGGAGGAAGCCACGGCATCAGTGAGCGAGGGCGGTGGCCTGCAGGGCATCAGCATGAAGGACAGCGACGAGGAGGACGAAGAGGACGATTAGAAGGCTCGGGCCTGGACCCTATAACCAATGCATGTCCTTAGTCTGTTAGTTATCCCATTAGGGAAGTTTCTGTCACCCACCATGCCCATGAGATGTTTACCAATACAATTGCCATCTTAGCTCTGTGGTATCAAGATTAGCAAATGACCTTCAAGCCCCCCATCTCCTGCCCCAGGACTATATGTTTACAGCAATCCGGAGCACCATTCTTTAAAATCCTGTTCATGGAGAACACGTAGTCCCACTGCTAGGCGTGTCCCTTTGCCGGTAAAGTCAAATGACGCTTCATTAACGTACAGTGTATGCGTTGACAATGAATGGATGTGAGGGCCAGTTCACCCAGAACTTTCACTTCTTGGTTTCCCATATGTGGATGTCAGTTATTTAAATGAGTATAATAAATTAATTTAATTAAGACACGTAGTTCTGCTTTGTTTTGTTTTTTGAGAAGCAAGAGGCAATGCTCCAACAACCAACGTTTGGTTCTCTCTGTTCCCTTAAAGCTAAAAACAATGAATCCCTGGTGTCCTTGTTACCATCCTTCCATTTATCTTATAGTTAGCCAAAACAGGATGGCTACGTACCTGTAGGTCGATCCTCCTCATTGCCATGGCAAAGGTTAGCCTATCAGACTGAACACCAAGCACAGTTCAGAGCAACCGTCTTCTGTCCAAGTGTATCCTATTACATGTTCCATTTTGCTTTTCTGTTTCAATAACCGTGTATGTAAAAAAAAATGGAATATTTAAATTACAACCCTAGACTATACATGTGTTTATAATAAGATATGGGTATTTCCTTCGGTAGACTGTAACCATGATTTTGATGGTTTTGTTCCAGCTGTTTTTTATATGTCATGTACATTGCATTTTGACCTGTAACTGCACGACCCTGGGGTCCGCTGCAGAGCTCCCTCTTTCTGTGTAAACTAGTGGATCCATCCTGCTTTTGCCTTATATAAAGCCTACAGTTATGAAAGTGTGAACAACTGTGGCTTCTCAATAAAGAACTATTCAAACGTCCGGAGAATACACGTCTGAGTCCTTTTCCCTCTGTCTTCTGTGCAAGTCAGAACTGGAACACAGGGAGCAGGCAGAGGCGGGGCGGGAGGAGGAGTGGTTTTCTCAGCGTGCGCTCCCGCCTGCTGGACCAGGTCCTTCTCCGAGCTCGTCTTCACAAGGGACAGCCGGAAACTTGGTGAATTCAGCCTCCACCGATGCAGAGTCTGCGGGCATTTGGACATGTTGGGCAGATTACACTTGCATTATAGGATAAATAAGGGTTTGCTAAGCAAGGGAGTCGTGTAAACGAGAGAAATGTTTCTCCTGTGCGCGGAGAAGGCCAACAAACTGTTTTTAAGCACCACTTTAACAGCAGTGTTTGCATTCAAACAAAGCGTGTGCCAATTATATATGATTCTTATATATTTGTTACAGCATTTTACAGGATTCTCTCTGGCGTAGAGCACGTCTCTCTCTCCCCAGCCTTGTCTGCAAGGTCATCACCTGGGACCGAGAGAAGCAAAGGCAGCATTGCCTGGTCTCTTTCATCTGTGATTGTCCCTAAACAGGCTGACTTTGCCGGGGGCTGACCGAGGTTTAGGCGAAATGGCCACTTTTCCCATAGGACCAGGCACAACGCTCACCACTGGCTCTCTACAAACCAACCCCTCTGAAAAGCACCTCCCACTCTTGTTTAATTCTCTACCCCTGCAGGTGCAAATCACAGTACCCCTTGCCCTCGGTGGGATTATAAGAACTCCCACTTACTGAGCAGCTGTTCTATGCCAGGCAAGCTGCGTCTATGACCCCATTTACATATCACAACAAGCTTGAGAGGAGAGGACTGTTGTTATCCTGATTGTACATGAGAACATTGAAGTGAGGAAGGTTAAGGTAACTTGGCCAGCCTTGGCCCAGCTCCCTGTAGAAACGTGAATACAGAGGACCCGGTGCTACGATTGGTGGGATGCACATTCAGGTGGGAACAATCTTTGCCCAATGGCACCATGTTAAGTCAGTGTGACAAAATTTTTATGAAGTTATTTGTATTATGTTCTGAGTTGCAAATCAAAGCATATTCCCTGCAACAATGACAAACAAAAAGAGTTGCAAGTAAAGAGGAAGCATCTGGTTGCATATGAAAGTGGAAAAGAAAAAGACGCTCAGGAACTCTGGGAGAGAACAAACTGAGTGAGTCAGATAACTAACCAAAAGGCATGATCCAGGAGGCAGAAAGAGACGCAAGTCATAGAGACTGTCTCTAAAACCAAGGTTAGCACCTTTCCTTCGAGAGGAGTCTTCCTCACAGCCTACCAGTGAGGGGCATGGTGAATACTGGTCCCAGAAGGGGACTAGGGGGAGGACGTGGCATCAGAAGAGATCACAGAGGAAGAACTGGCCAAGGTTAAGTCAAGGTTATCCTAGACACTCAAAGCTGAGAAGGAGGCAGTTTTGGTATCTTGGTCTTTCTTTTTGTTTTTTTGAGACAAAATCTTGAGTTTTCTGTTCTTCCCTTTTTTGTTATTTTTTATTAAACTATACATACAGAAGAGTGCACAAATCTTAAGTGTACAGCTCAGTGATTTTCCACAAACAGAACACACTGATGGAACACCACCAGGTCATAAACAGAAGGTAATGAACTCCCAGAGGCATACTGATGCCCAGGCCCTACCCCCATCTCTACCCCCTCCTTACTCTCCAGGGGTAACCACCATCCTGACATCAAGTTGCACTCATTGAATTGAACCTTTACATCATTAGAATCACAGCATCTATTCTGTAGTGTCTGTTTTCTTTTTGTTCTACATTATATTGTTGGTCTCGCTGTGGTTCGTTTCCTTTCACTATTCTATATTCCAAAGTATGACATTACCACAGTGTATTTATTCATGTTAAAGTGTGCTGTAGTTTTTTAAGTTTGGGGCTATTAGGAATAATGCTGCCATGAATCTCCTTGCACGTGTCTTCTGATGCAACTGCCGGGTGATGGGTAAAGGCATGTTCATTTTTAGGAGGCCCTGCCAGTTTTCCAAAGACATGAACAGAGCTATACTCTCACCAGCAGGGTATCAACCTGCTGCCAACACTAGGTATTGCCACTCTTTAATTTTTATCATTTTGGTAAGAGGTGGAGTGGTGTATAATTATAGTTCACTTGATTATAAAAATTGAGTTTATACATATGCTTTTTAACATATGCATGGGCAATTTGGATAGGCTGTCTTGGGAAACTCTTGTTTCTTTCCCCCTTTTTTTTATTTTAGAAAGAGAGGAAGGTAGAGAGTGAAAGAGCGATACAAACATTGATCATTTGCCTCCCGAATGCACCCTGACTGGGAATTGAACCCTTGTCCCTACGGTGCACAGTGAGGCATAGAGGTGTTGATGGAAATGTTAACCCATATAACATTCAGGGCACATACTGATCGGCACTGCCAGAAACAGCCAGGCTCTCTCTAGCCCCTCTCATCAGCAAGCAGAACCTTCCTAAAAGGCAAGTGTCACTTGTCCCTCCTTCAGTTAAAAGCACCCAGAGGCTCCCCTCGCTCATAGAATGAATCCTAAGGTGGTGTGCATGGCCATGCCCACCCCTCCAGCTTTCTCTCTTAACTGCTCCTCTTGCTCTAGATGTCAGCATCCGCCATCATCTTTCCCTTCCTCCTGTGCACCCTGGTTCTTCCCACCTGTGACCCTCCCCCTAAGCACCTCATCTCATCCTTCGAGCCCAGCTACATTTGCTTCCCCAGAAAGCCTTTCCACTCTGGAGTCCGTGTCCATTTCCCTGGCAAATACCCTCCTACCACTCTTCTCCTCTCCGTTTTCATCACACTCTTCTTGCCAGGTATTTGCAGAATTGCATGTTTCATGCAGCATTTCTCCGACTCAGGAAGGTGTGGCCTTTCCAGCTCTCCTACTCTACCTTCATTGCAGTCGCTAAATATATGACTAATAAGTGAAGTCTACAATATAAAACCGTAGCCGATCTGATTACTCTTAGAACCCTTAGTCTAGGTAATATGAATCTTCAAAAGATTCAAGTAGATTAACTACTAGAAGATTCAGAGGCAGAAGGAAGAGGTGGGTTGAAGAGGACAGGAAAAGGTGTAAACTAAAGCAGAGAGAGCTGAGGGGATGTGGCCCTGGCTGAAGCTGTGTTCTTCTTTGATGCATTCCCAATGAAGCTCTCAACAGATACATTGACTTAAGATGGCGATGACTATGCTCAGTGTGCTAGAAGATTTGTGCAAGGGGTTGGGAAAGACTAGAGTGGGAAAGGTGGACAGTTTCACTGAGTTTGGGTTGGTCTGTCTGAATAACAGAGCTAACCAGTATTTTTATTTTTTTCAAAATATTTAAAGACATTTTTTAAGTTTAAAAAATCAAATAGAGAAGAATTATATGAAACAAAAAGTTGAAGCCACTTCCTTCCCAAACCCATTTCCCCAAAGTAGCCATTGCTAACAGATGGGCACATATTCTCCCACATATGTTCAAATCACATACAAGTATATTGGAGATATATATATATATATATATATATATATATATATATATATATATCTCCACCATCCAATATCCAGTTGGATGTACTTATATATTTTATGTATTTATATTTTTAAATGTATTTTCACAAATGGGATCCATCCTCAGCCCAGTAAGGCAACTTATATTTTTTCATTTATCAAGGTAAAGTCATTCCCATGTCTGCACATATAGATTTTCCATATTACTTTTGATGGTTGTGCCATATTTAAGGAGATTGTCTGGTCAAAGAAGAAATGAGAACAAAGTAAGGCAAACTGAAAATCCAGGATGAAATCTAGGATGGACTGAAACACAATGGAGGAAATGACCATCTGTGGAAGTGACCCTGGAGACTGTTTGAAATGTGTGACTGAAGAATTTCTGAAACCCCCCAAATTCCATTGCCACCTAACTGCACTGCATTATAATTATCTATTCATGTACTTGTCTCCCCGCTAGACTGCCAGCTTCTGAGGTCAGGGACTGTGTATCCATTTGTGTTTGCCAATCTGATGCCCTGGATATGGTAGGCACTCCATAATGTTGGTTGAATTGAATGAGTGAACATTAGAGTCACACTTGAGTATGATCAAGAAAGCATAAACTGAATTTATTGCAATATACTTCATCCATAAAGAAACAATCACTAAATGAAGTGAAGAAGCTCAGCAACATTAGGAAAACTATTCACCTCTCACTGACATGGCCTGAATTTCCAGTTAAGTATGAGCAGTCATGCCTTGACAAGGGTTCCTTCATTATTGTTTCGGCATAAATTTTAGCAAGTTCATTTTACTTAAATTTTAAACTCCAAAATAAATGTGTTCTTCACGGCCAATTTCCACCAGCACATGATTTAAAAATCTGAACTGAAAGCAAATTATGCACAATTCTGTAATTCTTGATAAACAAATTTAAAAAAAATCAATAGTCATCTTTTATTCAAGATTTTGTTTCTTTACTTAAATACTAAAATTAGCATCTGTTTTCCTTCTCATGAGACCATGCATTTCATCTAAAGTTGTAAATCTGCATTTGTTGTAACTAAGCAAAAGATGAGAAAAGAACCAGTGGCCATGGGACCTGCCAGCAGAGCTCTCCACCCTGACGACAGCACGCTGAGGTCAGCGAGGAACTCTGCATGACAGAGTGGTCAGGGTCCCCAGTGAACAGGGAATGAGATGATCACCATTCACTCACACGACGGCAAGCTCAGGAATGCAAAAGCAACAATGAGCCAAAGAAGTACACACATCAGATTTTTCCCTTATTTCCTAAGAATTGAGAGCGTGATGGCAAAAAGCAACTGTAAACATGGTTAAGTTGGCATATTTCCCTCTGTCCATCAGAAACAAGTTGGCTTGTTTCCTGGACGGTGAATACAGCTTCAAAGAATAAACAAGGCTTTGCTTAAATTTTCAAGCAGGAAACATGTAATTGAAGATGGTACAAATTTCAGAGAAAGTGTTGGAAATTTTGGAATGTACTTAAAA